AATCGGGCTGGTTGGCCAGCCACAGTGAATGTCATAGCAACCAGTCGTTCCAGTCGTTCCGGTCGCTTGGCTTTTATCTATATATATAAAAGCCCAGCGAGCGACCGGTGGAATGACCGGTTGACCAGTCGCTATGACACGCACTGACCACCAGGGGGCAGATGCTCAATGCAAAACCCTTGCATTGAGCATCTGCCCCCTGGTGGTCAGTGCGTGTCATAGCGACCTGACCTGTGGTCAGTGCACTCCCACAAGGGGAGCGCCACTCAGCTGACCGGGATGAGCGGCGCTCCCACAGCAGACTGATCCCCGCAGTCCACATGTCCCCCCACAGTGCAAGAATCCATGCACCGAGCCTCTAGTACAGTGATGGCGAACCTGACACATGTGTCAGAGGTGACACGCGAACTCATTTTTTTGGTTGATTTTTCTTTGTTAAATGGCATTTAAATATATAAAATAAATATCAAAAATATAAGTCTTTGTTTTACTAAGGTTGCAAATATCAAAAAATTTCTATATGTGACACGGCACCAGAGTTAAGTTAGGGTTTTTCAAAATGCTGACACGCCGAGCTAAAAAGGTTCGCCATCACTGCTCCAGTATATATAGAATACTGTGCATTTATGTTTCAATTACTTTTTTTTAAAAAATATATTTTATTGATTTTTTTACAGAAAGGAAGGGAGAGGGGTAGAGAGTTAGAAACATCGATGAGAGAGAAACATCGATCAGCTGCCTCCTGCACACTCCCTACTGGGGATGTGCCCACAACCAAGGTACATGCCCTTGACCGGAATCGAACCTGGGACCCTTGAGTCCTCAGGCTGATGCTCTATCCACTGAGCCAAACCGGTTAGGGCTGTTTCACTTACTTTTATGTCTGTTTTATATTTGAGATTTTTCAAAAACAATTAGGGGAAAAGAGTTGGAGACAATCTGGGTGTTTTATTACCCAGGAAATGTGTACATGAATGTGAACACTATATAAAAGAATACAGTGCAAGGGTCAAAGGTAGTAACTGTATTTACAATTATAGAAACATGGAGAGTTCTCAAAAACAAGGCTGAACAAAGGAGAATGGAGGTTTATAGCACAATGCTACATTTAGATGTAAACCTTTAAAAACACCAACATGAAACAATGCTATGTATTTTTCAAGAATACACAGGTGTCCAAATAAACCCATGGAAGAGGAATTAGAAAGGCATATATACATATAAAACATATAAAAATACACTGCAGTGAATAGCTAACTGGATAAAAACAGGAGTCAGCAAACTTTTTCTTAAAGGGCCAGATAATAAATATTTTAGACTTTGCAGACCATTAGGTCTTATGGCAACTATTCAACTCTACCATTATAACTCAAAAGCAGAAGGAAACCAATGGGCATACCTGAATTCCAATAAGGCTACACTGACACTCACAGCAGGATGGGCTATAGTTCACCAAGCCCTGGAAAAGGGGAATGGGTTAAGGAAAGGGAATACAGGGAAAATATAAAGGGAGGCTCTGTGTGGGCCAATGACAGAGGATGTCTTTACATATTTCCAACTCAATTCTGGGGAAATAAACTCCTTTATCATTAAGAGGTAATCAAAGAAAGAAAACAGTACCTTTTTTTGTTGGGATTTTCTTCCACACTTACCTCCTTGTTGTCGGTCACAGGAACCCACTTAAATATCCTAAGGGATGTGTCACCCACAGTAACCCATTTTTTCTCCCTAAAAGAAAAATACTTCTTAGGACTGATAAAACAATAAAATAGATTTTCTGTTCATAACTTGGGCTTTCCTACTTCTCAGCAAATCATTCCTTCAATCTTCAATGTTTTCTAACTTCCTTTCCATCAAATTACCTTAACTTTCAGTGCAAAATCATCCCTTTCAGAAAAACTTCTGTCAAATTCCTTTGGCTCTGAACTCTCTACTTGTCATTTTTCCTAATGTACAGAATACCAACGCCTTTTTCCCCCTAACATACTAACCAATATAGAGTACCAGCACATTTCCAAACTCAGGTATCTATCTAGCATCTTTTTCTTTTCAAAAAATAATTCAATTTCACAGATACTTATAAGGCCCTCCAGGATATAAAGGATGTATAAGATATAGTTCCTACCTGGGGAGCTCATAGGAGTGAAAAAGATAAGGAAAAGATTGAAGGTGACAAGGATGAGAAGGCTGAAAGACAGAGTAAGACTAGGATATCCCATGGATGGGAGAACTTCTATGACTCCTATGGAACTCTGGGTTGAAACACAAACTCCATTTAAAAATAATCACAGGCCAGGATGCTTCCAGCTAACAGAATAAAGGCTTACACTGGTTTCTGGAAGAGGTGAAGGCCAAGCCATGGAAGAACTGCTTTAAGGTTTTATTTTCCAGAGGAAGTAACTTTTGAGATAAGCCTTAAACAAATGAGAAGCTTAATCTTTTCCCAGGCACATACCTAGGGAAAGGCAAGTGACATTCTTGAATATGGCAGAAAATTGTGGACAAGCGGGGGGTGGGGGGTAGGGGGTGTGTGTGTGCTGAAATTACTTCTGAAAGTTTCAAGTCCACATCTGATAACATAAAAAAAGCAAAAACTGTTGTTACTTTTGCTATTGAGGATGTTATTCAGCAAATAACATCACAGGAACATAAAGAAGAGACTGTGATATAACAGAAAGAATGAATTAAAGACTTAGAATATTGGAAGTTAATTCCTGGACAAGACACTCCATTTCCTCATTTATTTAACAAATATTTAATATACAAGACCTTGTGCTAGGCCCTAGGCACACAAGAACAATATGCATAGTCCCTACCCTCACAGAGCCTGCACTCCAGTTAGAAACAGACATCAAACAACTCATTTCATTGTCAGTCACTTAATCATTAGGTTAACCATATCAAATTGCCACTTTTGTAGGTTAAAAATCAAATATAGGAAATGTCTTATGGTTTAATCCAATGCAATTGTGGAAAGTTTTATGAAGGGGATCCGATCTAGATTGGGGGTCCTGAAAGGTGTCCTTGAGGAACCAACTTTTGAGCTGAGCTATGAGTTAACTAGGCAAGGGGGATGTAAGTCTGAGGAAGGATGCCGGGCAGCTGGAATAGTAGTGTGGCTCTAATTGAAAGATGGCCAGCACCCTGGGAAAGAGGGCAGTTTGAGCCAGGCAGGTGAGGCAGGCAGGACCAGGTTTGGTCTCACAAGCAAGAAGAGGTCACTGAAGCATTATTTTCTTAGCAGGGGAGTACTCTGATGAGATCTGCACTTGAGAAAAATATTGTCACACTGAGTGAAATGTGAGCAATGGACCAAGGACTGAGCAGAGCTGAAACAGGGAGATCACAGGGAGGCTGGGGGAGAGAGGATGTCAGCTGGCTTAGGCTACTAGTGGGGGCAGAGAATACCGGAAGAGAAAGAAAGGTGTGCCAACTCTTAGATTTCACACAAAAATACCCAGAATTACATTTGGAGGGGAAAAATCATGATTATAATGGGTCCCAACTATACACGAAGACTTTGGATATAGAGGAATAAGGAACTTGATCTTGTGGGGAAATGAGCAAACACCAGGTAAGAAGCCCCTAAAAGGGGTGGAGAGTGAAAGACAGGAGGGCTTTGGTAAGGCTTCCTGGAGGGAGTTAACACCTAACAGGGCTTTAAAGTTATTAATAATCATCAACTAGAGAAAAGCACTCAAGAAGGTGGCATAAGTCAGAGAAAGATAAGTATCACATGATACTCATATGTGGAATCTAATGAACCAAGTAAACTGATGGGGAAAAAAAACTATGTCCCAGAGATACAGAAGCATGAACAGACTGTTGAACCTCAAAGGGAAGGCAGCGGAGGGTGAGTGGAAAGGGATCAACCAATGAACTTATATGCATAACCCGTGGACACAGACAATGGGGTGGTGAGGGCCTGGGACGGGGGCGGGGGAAGGGACGGGAGCGGCCTGGAAGAGGTTAAGGGGGGAAAGGAGGACCTATGTAATACTTTCAAAATATTTTTTTAAAAAGTTGGCACAAGTAGTTGGCTGTGCAACTTTAATGTGGTAATACGGCGTTCCTGATACAAAATAGGCAGTCAACTAGCGTCTGCAAAGAACATTACATGAGCCGTTTCTAAACGAGAAGCAGGTCTCGACTCCTCTACCCTCAGCTCCCAGGGCACTAAGAGAAAATGCCTACACAGTTCAGAGTGCGTCTGGTATTAGGGGAGAGAGTTCTGATTTCCACACCAAGTTTGCTCCTGTGCCAGGTAGGTACCAGGTACCTCTCACCAAACTTAGAGTGCTCAGTCTGGCGGACGGGATACTCAGATTGTTGGTTAACATATGGGACAGTTCACAAAGCAAAAGCCTACAGAGGCGGGCATACGCGGAGTCAAAACCGCACCAGGATTGGTGAGAGCAGCATCTTCCAGACCAAAGCGACCGGAAGCCGGCATCTCCTCTGGCGACACACCGCCTACTGACAGGTGGGTGTGGCCACGAGCCGGTCGAGCCGCTAATTGGTCAGGGCTGGCGCGCCCTCTGAACTCACGCCGACGCGAGCGGCACTCTCCTCCCGCCTTCTCCGGCTCCCCCCTTCCCCCCACTCAAGCGCCAGTCGGTGGACTCACACCCCGCCTGCCGGTCTGGTGCTCCTCTGGGCCTGGACCGGCGAACCCCGCCAGCACCCTCGGCCCCAGCCTCGGCCCCTCACCATTTCCGCACTTTCTCGATGGCAGCCATCACCTTCTTGATGTCGTCCTTGGCCCGGCTGCGGGTCTCGGCCCTGACTGACCTGCCCGACATGGCGGCGGCGGGAGCGGCGGGGGCGGCGGGAGCC